TATATTTGTTTAAAGGATAAAAGTTATTCCTTATGGCTGTATTAGGCATAGAAATTGTTTAATTCTCTAAAAATGTACCCAGGTATTATTAGTTTAAACTCCTTTATCCCTTTGTATTCTAAGATAACCATGAAGTTAAGCCAGGTGCTTATAAAGCATAGCCAACGAAGCTTCTATTTCCAGTGTAATCTAAGGAAGTTGATCCCAAAAGAATGTGCCCCGGGACTCACTGGAGCTGTGCGAACAGCAGTATCTCCAGAAGCCATCACCATACCTGCTTCACCTTAGCTCTTCATGCATACTGCTCGCATCTGGGCCCTCTCACACCACCAGTGTGCAGTGCTCAACACTGGCTGCTCATTCACGAGGGAAGCTTAAACAATCTACTCCCAAAGATTCTGCTTTCATTGGTCTAAGTGTTCCTTGGCATCAGGAGTTTTTAAAGCCTCCCGGGTGATTCTAATACAAAGTTTGAGAACCCCCTGAACTCAATATTATGAATCTTCTTTGACCCTAATGTACAAATACTGGCACATTTTTCTGTCACACAAATGACTGAATTAGTATAGTGAAAATAGTATTTTCAATAGGAATTGATAAAATGCCCTATGACAAAGGGCAGAAGGTCATTGCGGGCACTTAAAGGACTCAGGGCTGCAACTATTTACCAACCAGTATGGAATGATTTGGATATTTTAACCTAGAGCTGTCCGGTAGATCCCTCCATGGTGATGGGATTGTTCTATATGCGCACTGTCTGGTATGACAGGAGTCATCCTAAATGGCTGTTGAGCTGTTCACCTTCACTACCATGATTGAGGAACTGAAGTTTTAAGTTTATTCAATTTTGAGGACAGCTGCTCCTTGACTACAATGGGGTTACATCCCAATAAACCCATTGTAAGTCGAAAATACTGTTACGTCAAAAATGCACTTAATACATCTTACCTACAGAACATCATAGCTTAGCCTAGCCTACCTTAAACATGCTGAGAACACTTACATTAGCCTACAGTTGGGCAAAATCATCTAACACAAAGCATATTTTATAATAAAGTGTTGAATATCTCATGGATTGTATTGAATACCATGCTAAAAAAGTATGGTTTCTACTGAATGCATGCGGCTTTTGCACCATTGTAGTTGAAGAATCATAAGTCTAAGCCATTGTCAGTCAGGGACCATCTGTAATTACCATTTAGATTTAAATGTGGTTGGTGGCCACATGTGGTTGGTGGCCACTATGTTGGACAGAACAGTTTTCACCATGACTATGGCCATTTCATTGTGTCCCAGCTGGACCTCAGACCTGCTTGGAACCATACTCCCTGACTCCCCAAAGCTGGAGCTCTCTCCCGTCCAACACTCTGCCTACTTCACAAGGCAGTTAAAGGATTGGCAGAGGGCCAGCTGCAGTGGCTGATACCTGTAATCCCAGCACTTTGGAAGGCCAACACAGGATTGCTTGAGTGTGAGAGCACAGGAGTTCAAGACCAGCCTGATCAACATAACAAAACCCCATCTCTACAAAATAAAAATAAATACAATTAGCCAGAGCTGGGCGTGGTAGCTCAACCCTGTAATCCCAGCAATTTGGGAGGCCAAAGTAGAAGGATTGCTTGAGGCCATGAGTTCTTGTTTTCTGGGTTGCTTTGTTTTGTTTTTAAACAATTTTACTCTTTTTAAAAAATATATATTTTTCAATTTGATAGAGATGGGCTTTTGCCATGTTGCCCAGGCTGGTCTCAAACTTCTGGCCTCAAAAGATACTCCCACCTCCGCCTTCCAAAGTGCTAGGATTAAAGTCATGAGCCACTGCACTGGCCGAGGCCAGGAGTTTGAGACCAGCCTGGGCAACATAGCAAGACTAGGTCTACAAAAAAAAAAAAAAAAAAAAA